TCTCCCCCCCCCCCCCCCTTCAGGACGTGGCTCTTTGAGATGTGACTGCAGTGGACTGGATTTCCACATAAAAAGGTATTCTGGTTTGGAGCCAGGCTGTATGGTTGGACGTGACGTAAAGCAGCATACCTATTTCATCTGAGATTTGGTCTGTGACAGGATAGGTCAATGAATACAAATTCTATTTTGGCAGAGGACTGGCCTAACATTGATGAGACTTTGGAATAACCTTGACCTAACCATGGCCCAACCTAAGCTAACCCAACATAACATAACCAAACCTAAGACATTGACGAGACTTTGGAATAACCTTTACCTAACCATGGCCCAACCTAAGGTAACCCAACATAACATAACCAAACCTAACTTAACCTAGCCCAACGTAACTACCTCCTTCAATAGCGTTACATACATAAGGTTATCACATGAATATGCAGCTCAGACTGATCAGACTATTAAGCTAACATAACTGACATGTGTGGGAGAGTCACAGAGCCTTTCAGAGGTACAGAAACACCTTTCTGTCTTGTTCAATGGGTAAATTTTTTGTCTGTGAATGGGTTTGTCAACTGACAATGGCAGATATATATAGTGATGACAAAAGCATATACAGTAATACAGTAACAGCAGTTGTAAGAAAGGTGACTATAAGCCTTTAAATCAGATTTAAAATCAAAAGTTACAACAAAATTAAGTTGCATGCATAAAAACACAGTAATACAAGAAACCTAAAGCAGCAAAGAATATTCATCACAGGGCATTACAGAAAAATGTAAAACATCAAGTGTTAATGAATTAAGTGTCACTAACCTGAATATCATACTGCATATGAAGATTGTTGATAATAAACGGATTGCGCAAATTGGCATAGTGGATGGCCTTATCCAGTGGGAACCCCTTTGAATGGAATGAGATGAGACAGTCACAGATCGGCCATTCCTCCACTGGCTTCTGTTCAGCAGACAGAAAGGCTTGGAGGTACCAACATATGTCATAGTATGATACTTATATTATCAAGGTACAACTTCAAGCTGCAGCACATGCACTCATATTATGACAATTAAAAGAAAAAACATGGTCATGCAACACAGATTGTTTCATATTTATAAAATTTACCATAAGAATGCCTTACAGTATATCCTACTTTGTTATACCTTATAACATTTCCTTATGCTGTATTTTGATCCACCAACATTTAACAAAATATCTTTAGGAATTGTGTTAGCCCTGATTTTCAAATATAATGAAAATAAAAAATTTCTTAGCTTCCTTTACTTAGGCTGCGCCTGATACAAGCTTATTCACAGATGATTGGGGAGGGGGGGGGGGG